TGTGTGTGTGTGTGTGTGTGTGTGTGTGTGTGTGTGTGTGTGTGTGTGTGTGTGTGTGTGTGTGTGTGTGTGTGTGTGTGTTGTGTGTGTGTGTGTGTGTGTGTGTGTGTGTGTGTGTGTGTGTGTGTGTGTGTGTTTGTGTGCGCGCGTGCGTGTCTGCTCATTAGTTCAAACATGTGGTTTTATATAGCTCATGGTTCAACACAAACACGTATATGCTGATGAAATTGATCAGTTCAATATATAATAGATCTTACATATAATTATAGGGCCCTAACCCAGTTTTCGAGTATTATATTTTAATATGCGACCGCCAACAATCATATATCTTGTATAAATTATTAGCTGAATTTTCCGAAACTTTGTCTATCGTTCTGCGCTTCATGGTACGTGCGCGCTCGATCTCTCCCTCTCCTAACACGTACTATTCTATCTGTATTTCTCGGCCTCTCTCCTATTTCTTCTCAATAAGATCAAATAAAAAGCATTTATTCGTCATTACTCAGTTATATCCCAAAATGTCGTAATCGTCTCATAGAGATGTACTTAGCCGCGCACTATAGGATGAAGATCACTTACTGGCCCGAGCCATCCACCATTTACGCGAACCGGCATTGCCATCAATTATTTTCCGATATATTTCAGGAGCGCAGGTCGCGGCAGGCAAAGCCACTTGCGTGGTGTGTTCTGGGAAGGTGACCGCCAATGCCGTATCTACTTTTTCTGTGGGACTGCTTCCTTGCCCACCCCGCACTAGTAACTACGGCCTGTATTTTTTGCAGTCGGCTTCTCTAACAGCGCATAGTTATAGCTACAAAGAGTATATAACCATGGAAAGCGTCAGTTTGGATGTATTTGTTTATGGATAATATGGACATTATACCTATTATCAGAAGTAGATAATATGGAATTCCCTATATAATACAATAATATATATAATAGGGAATTCCCTATTATCTTTCTACTTCTGCTATTATGTATTTATTTACATGCAATGACGCGGGTAGTCCAGTACATATATAGGCAAAGGGGCTTTATCCTATGAAGAACATGCATCCAATGCTTAATATAACTTAGGCATACGTTTTAAGCTTTCGCCAAAGCTCGTTTGGCTTGTGACTCTAATGGCACAGCCTAAGGTATCATTCTCGTTAATTTTAATTTGATGTAAGAGGATCAAAACGGCGTGTTATCGACAGGTTAAATTTCTCGTTTACGTGGTGCTAGTGTATATATATATATTATATACATGCAGGCCTGTAGCAAGCATTCCATACTACTGGAATTGGACATACAATGTGACGTTTCATTGGCCTTCTATTCGGTCAGTCCATATTTCAGAAAGCTAAGAAACTTTTATGGTATAGTTTCTGTTGGTTATAATTTATGTTTTGTTTGCAGGTAACTAAGCAGTATTTACCACTCTACCAGCCTATCCATCTGAACTGCTTTAGAGGGAGCTGGGTCGTGTTCTACATATAATATAATATATAATGTAACAGCAATACTAGTATAATATAGGCCTATATGAATAAATTCTCAGTCTATTATGAAAACAAGTTAATAGTTTTCCTTCCTGTTAACAGTACGTGTGTCTGTTGATCTAGTCTACCTCAATGTCAAGAGGTTAATCGATAAAATTGAGCCATTTTGTAATTTAAATTATTATTACGGTTGCAACAACAAAATATTAAACCATGTTAATTTATGTTTAATAATATATCATTTCTTTATTTGTACTATAACAGACATAATTATATTTAATTTTTAGTGATTTAATGTAAATATATTGAAACCTAATGCTGGCTTCTTAATCGGTAACGAAGTTGAATTATTGAATTATGTTTAAATTGCAACATTAACAAATAAACTAAAAATAACAATATAATTATATTGTTATTTTCAGTTTATTTGTTAATATTTAATTATGATAGAATATACTTGAAATACATAATAAATGTATAATACCTAATACAACCTGACAAAAACTAAAATGAGAGCAAATATAGGTTGGGAAATGTAATTTAAATGCATTGTTACCTGTTTGGGACAATTTGATGACGTCATAGGTCATCCAGGTAAGAGCACCTAGGGGTCAAATTACGGCTACCACTTACGTTTGGTGTGAATATACCTCCTGAGAAATGGCAAGGCAATTGGTTTAGAAATGTCGAAGATATGGCTAATAAAGCTAATAATATCACTAAAATACAGTAAAAGTGTTCCGAAACGGTGCCGTTTTGTTCCTATCTATATACCTTGCAATACTCAACGACTGTCACTAAAAGGCATGTAACTCCTTACAGGGGTGGAACCTTTTAATTCTGTAAACCATTCTGTGTTTCCTGTGACTGGAACTATCTAAGAAACTCAAAATACCTATTAAAAACCACTTGGGAAAAAATCACCTACTATCTCTATCCGGAGGGTGAATTCTAAACTATTTCCCAAAGTTGAATAAGTCAAAGCACATGTGCATTGATGAACGCATAAACACGTTTAATAGTCTGTGTCACACTCACATGAAATAATGCCAAGCATGAAAAACTCAATGGAACTGACATTTTCTACTGTATGTAAAAGTATTGTGGCTAATCGCCGAGCGGGATAATTCTATTAATCGAACTGCGCATGCTCACTGTCGGATGTTGATACGATCGCTTGGAATGATGGGATAGAAAATACCGGGATTATTTGCGCGAGCGTTCACACACACGCCGCGGTGTAAATAATCGCGCTAATTCCCAAATAATCGCAGTCAAAAGTGCGATTTGCAGCGCGATGCTGATCGCGATACTTAGTGAGATTTTTGCGTTCACACTTGTAAAAATCTCGGTATTTCGATCGCGATGCAAAAAAACCGAGATTTGCATCCCGCTAATTCCCGCCAGTGTGAACGCGCCTAATGTAATACATATAATGCCATACTATTAAATTTCAATCTCTGACTCGTACTCAAGCTTAGAGGGTAGCCTTATTTCTAGTCTTATAACGAGTAGGCCTATCTATCTCCATTTTTTGTTTATATCGCTTCAGTACCTACAACAGACGCATTCTATGTAATAATTCAGTTCCCTGAAGAAAGTCGTAATAATGAATAGTGTAATAAAGATATTTTTAGACTTCGGATAATTAATCAAATAACTGGCGTGGCAAAAACAGACCACCGACTGTCAAAGGGGGTCGTCCGACCCCTCCGACTCCCCTTCCCACCCGGCTACAGGTCTGCTATATTCACTCTATAACTGAGTACTCGCCGGAGGATGGCGCTAACAAACCGATGTTAGAGCTTTCAGACTATACCAGACCCACGTGGCATCTCTGCTATATACCGCCGCCAAATGGGTGTATCGTGTGCACCATCACCAGGGGATATATACTCTTAGTCTTATGTGCACTATGATGCACGTCTCGACAGAAAATGTTCGATTATCAATATATAAAATCATAGGGCGTATCTTCACAATAGATTTGCTAGCGTTTAATTAAAACTCCTGCCATTCAGACGTTTATTCATCTCTCTCGTTGCGCAAAACATTTGGGGCACAGAGAAATAATAATTATTGTATTTGAACCAATTTTGCTAAAACTAAAAAAAGTAATATTTTTAGTATACGATACAGGATTTTTATTTACTCAGTAATCTCGGTTAATATATTGCAAATATTGAATAAGAATAAAACTAATACTCTACGAAAACCTAAGACTGTAACTCAACTGATTACCTCTATCCCACGAGTATAACAGCCTATTGGTGGGATTATAAGAAATCATATTGTTCTGCGTGTACGGGTTAACAAAGTCTAGCTCTATCCGCGTGACTGTGCTATTGTATAAATCGAAAGCGAAATTGAGGGTAGTCTTTGCGACGCTGGTATCTTCTACCGTATACAGAACTCCGCACGATATAAACGCATGTCCAACTACATTGTGTTTCAAGTCTAGATCTTGAACTCTTATGACTTCGAAAGGTTCCAGCTGTATTTTAGCTACCATCAAATTCTGGCTCGTCTCGCTTCCATACATCGCCCACAGGCCATTTTCATCCACGGCAACCTTCACGTAAGAGTGCTTTATATTAAACAGAAACGTGCCGCCTGTGTACGTTGCTCCGGGCAAAGGTAGCTCCTCGGTAGTTTTTGTGTGCACGTTGTAGCGTATGATACTCTGTTTGCCCGAGGCATGGTATATGAGGGATCTGTCGTAGATTACATGCCCATTCCCTTGATACGGCCAAGGAAGCTCGTAGGTGTGCGACGGTCGGTTAGCAACGTATGAAGCGGCATCCGGAAACTCGATGAGATTACTGCCGGCTGGTAACTCGGTGACCCAGTGCCTGTGCGCGGCCTCCGGAGTGGAAGGGTGGGCATCCAGCATCCACGTACCCCATGGCTTGTTGGTGTGGCGGTGGAAAAGCGGCTTACCGACCATTCGCAATCCACAACCTGTTTAATTTCAAGGAACGGTTAATTACGTTTGAGCGTAGGCGGCTGCGGATACGCGTGTTCATGTACATGTTCGTATCACATGCACTTGGAGCGTTTCAATAAAATATAATGCTAAATAAATACGAAATCTATTTACTATCAAAGTCTTGATGTTTCTCTGCTCTCCTTCACCTATTATTGCCGACAAGCCGTGCTGCAAATGCTCCCGCCACTGCAACACACGCCCACCGCACGCACGCTGCTGCACGCTACTGGCAGTACTGCACACTTACACATACATATAGAGTATATAGAATGTTGCAGTGGCTGGAGCATTTGCAGTACGGCTTGTCGGCAATAATAGATGAAGGAGAGTAGAGAAACACAAAGACTTTGGTAGTAAATAGATTTCGTATTTATTTAGCATTATATATTATTGAAACGCTCCAAGTGCCGGCCTGCCTGTGGTTCGTATGAGTGTGTCTGTGCGTTTGCGTACGCGATGTACGTGCGCGCGCGTGCGTATATAGTGAGCATATGCGCGTGTGTGCGCCCGTTATTTGTGTACCCGTGTGCGCATGGGTGCGCATGTGGGTACGTCTATGGGCCCACGTGTATAAAAATGCTATTGATGCCACTGTCGTTATATATTCGGTTGATAATAAAAGACATTTTATGAATTACTGCGTCGATATACTATACCAAAATAAGGAAATAACTATTTACTCTTCCTAGATTGCACATTATTATAAGGTTACTATATTTATCGTAATTATAGTTAACAGCAGTAATGAGACATTCGTGATCTTCCACACACACCATTGATACCAGTCTTGAAGTATGGCAAAATTTGATATAACTTAAATGCCAGAACCTTCGCTTGCACAGACAAGGCTTGTACCAACCCGGCACACGGGGTGTTATAATAACCTTGTGCATATACTTGTTATTGTGCATGCTAATAAGCGTGCTAGTACTTACTGCTAGTGCGAGGGCCTAATGTTCCATTTGGAAGTGCTGTGAAAGTGAACAGTGCATCAGAAACAATCTATACTATCATTCATACCCTTCATAATCTTTGCGGAATCCGGGTGGGGAGTGAATTGCAATCGCTTTAAAATCATATAGCCTCTCCTGAGTTTACTAAACAGTATCACATATATACCTTTTTCGTAAGTACCAATGTCACCCTGCTATCACCCTTTATAAGTACAAACAATCTCAGTACGCCGGCAACAGGCGGAATGTTAAGCCTCTATAAAATTGGCTTCCGATTATCAAAGCGCTACTGATGTGTTTTATTGATTTTCCGTTGTGACCATGCAAGCACGTCTGCATACACGTCAGTGTTTATTGTTCATCAAGTGATAAAACGTCCATGCTCTTAATATTTACAACGTTTGGTTATGGAGAACAGATAGATGCTTGTCTCAAACGCAAAGTTCAAGTTCAAGGCAAGTTCAAATAACAAAGCATATTGCATTGGATTATATGCCAAATAAAAAGAAAGACTTCCCACATGTTTATTGAGTTTTCACGCCCCATTGCGGAAGGAATATTTATAATTATTACAACTTTTATCTGACTTGACCACTCAATCTAGTTAAATAGCCCCATATCACTTCACTGCGTTCGAGTAACCCCCACCCCCCGCTCAACGCCGTCGCCCCATCCTTGTACATTAATAATGAATACTCCTTATATACACATCATGTTAGTGTCAAGTTTGTGCCAATGGCGCAGCGTATCACTATCATAAAAAATGGATATGGTATGCCGTATCCATTTTTGTTATAATGAAGGGACATTTACCGATTGTTACCCCTGTATACGCCATTTGAAAATACGCCATGTTATTTATACCTGCCTTGCGTATCATATACGTAAGCATTGTAAGACAATCATTTATATCTACACGAATCGTTATTTTTCGCGTGAATTTGGAATGTGTGTCGAGAGACATTTTTTATTTTCAACTGAATAGCTTTCTTCGATGGCGTCACTAAATATTATTAATTCATTATGTATAAATGCTTTGGTTGCAGTGATATTTCCACAAGCGCGTATAGATCGTCGATACTTACTCAGCGGTCATGTTTCCTTTATATTGCCCTTGTGAATATCAACCCAGCACAACTCTCAGTGTGTAAATTGTAAAGCTTGCGCTCTATGGGGATCATTAGAGTAGTTATAAACCAAACCTCGGGGCTATCAGTAACATTACACCGATAGAGACTCTGGGGTTTAGATAACGGAAAACTGAATGAGTAAAAGCGTTGAAGCGACCACTATTCTGCTAGTGATATGTGTTATAATTATAATTACTCAAACCTCCCATAACGAAAGAATAGAAGTGGTATTTCATCCAACTATAAAGCATGTGCTAGTCTCTGGTGGGCAAATTGGCAAGCGAGGTGACTAATAACAGGAGAGTTAGTGCGGTGTGCTTGTGTAGCGTGAAATTATGTGCCGCTGTTGTCTATCATAAAATCCACGTTGATGCGAATTGCACTGAAACTGACAAACCTGCTGTTTCTCTTGAGCTTAGCTGAATCTCGCCAGGAGGGCCTAAAAGAAAACGAACGTGCTAAATTGTTACCGTTACCGTGTAAATTAAGGGAAGGAAAACTGACACCGCAATGATCATTAACTAAATAGACAACTCAGAATAGCAATATTGTACCTTATGGCAGAATAACCTTTTCATATAATGCTAAATCTCGACCAACCATAATACGAAATCGCCACACCAGACTTTCTCATTAATTCGTCGTTTGTCGAATACATCATTACACATACCCTGAGGCCCAGCCGGCCCGACTGGTCCTTGTATACCAGGGATTCCTGATTCTCCCGGCAATCCTGTTTAGGAATCAGATTATATTAATCTTTTTTTATGCAATCACGTGATACAAAAATATGTATTTATCAATTCTGTTTAGGAATCAGATTATATTAATATTTTTTTATGCAATCAGGTGATACAAAAATGCGTATTTATCTGAGCCTGTTTACACACTTAGAGAGGGAGCAAGAGTAGGTGAGCGTAGGAAAGAGATAAAACCCAACGCGCGCGCACGCGCATAATTATGCAGTCTACACATGCACACGCATCTGCATGGAACAACGCTATAGTTATATAAATATTCATAAAATTTTTATTATATAAGTTGCTAGAATCTTCGGTAGCTCACCTGGTTCGCCGTTAGCACCAGTGTCACCTGAAATATTAACGAGCCGAAATGTACATGCAAAACCCGCAATGTTAGCTAACAAAATGTCATAAATCAAAAATTTAGAAATTTATCTGTTCTCCCTATCTAAAAGGTATTCGGTTATATAGCAACACGCTTTTAGGAATTCAAAAGGAAAAAATATGCGGCCGACCTTTAAGACCGGTTTCCCCCCGCGGCCCGATTTCTCCCGTTGTGCCCGTCGGTCCAGCGTTCCCGGCATCACCCTTCTCTCCTGCAGAACCGTGTATTCCTTGCGGGCCGACAGGCCCCTGCACACCGGGAATGCCTGCGTGACCTGGCTCGCCAGTGTAGCCCTTCTCTCCTGAAAAACATTCACGAAACTGTGATACGCGCCACGCAACAATGTCTTTGCAGCACTATAATATAAACTAAATAACATAATGTATAATAACCACCATTGACAGCAGATACCTAATAACTACGTGCGACTTCAGATAATATTATTACCGCGCGCAGACTCACTCGATTATTAATCGCACCCGGACGAAGTTGTCGCACTTGTATTTTCTCATCACTTATGGTGACGCGGGAAGGCTAATAGAGCAATGCTGAAGCTGCACGGTTAATTTGCACGGTCGCGCGAGTGAATGCGATAGCAAAATTAGCGAGCGTGTGTCCTCGGCTTACGTATACTATCAAGAGCGTATAAAGAAGGCTTCTTTATTCCTTACTTTATACGCTCTTGATCTGACTCGCGCTACAGATAATAAAAATATAACTACAATGTGTTAACACACGCCTGCCCATTTATTGATATAACCAACACACTTTAAATGTCAGCGGGTGTAGAAAAACGTTATACAATTATTCACTTATTTGTATCCACTGCAAAGAGAAAGAAAGGGGGCTTATTTCACGTATTTATCCCTGATCCATTAACGTCACATGTTCCACAGCACATACACGACATATTGGTCACATGTGACGCAGGCGAGTATACCTGAGCGTTAGGAACTTACCGTACACGATCAGATTATCCGGTAATATCGGCCTATGCATATACACTAACTGATACAGATAATTAGTGTTGAAATTTGGAAATGAACACCGATACTTTATGTAGGGGCAATAATATATAGCTTAATGATATTATGTAGCAAAACTATTCGCTTATAGTGCGTGTTGCAAAAAAAACATTAAGAATTTTAAAACATTATAATATATTTTCATTCTGACACCATTACCACCCATCTATTCATACCACGCCGTATATCATCCATAATATGATACCGTCAATGAAATGCAGACCGCAACATACCATCCAAGGCATACAAGCCATACTACATTATCCACCCATCTGTGCATTCACCTACCCACCTATCCATCTATCCACCATCTATCGATCCATCATTCCATTCACCCGTTTGTCCGTCTGTGTATCCATCCATCCATCCATCCATAAACCCACCAACCCATCTATCAATCCATATATCCATGCGCCCATCTATCCCTGCATGCATGCATGCATGCATCCATCAATCCATCCATCCATCCATCCATCCATCCATCCATCCATCCATCCATCCATCCATCCATCCATCCATCCATCCATCCATCCATCCATCCATCCATCCATCCACCATCCATCGCCATGCCATCATCCATTCCATGCCATACCATCGGGCCGATGTTATCTATCCATTTATCTACCATGCATCCATGCCCAATCCATCCATCCCATCATCCATCCCATCATCCATTCCATCCACCATCTCATCCCAGACCATCCATCCATCCATCCATGCCATCCTCCATCATTCCATCCATCCATGGCCATAGCATACCATCCATCCATCCCATCCATCCATCCATCTCCATTCCATCATCCTCCCATCCATCATCCATCATCCATTCATCAGGCCCATCCATCCATCCATCCATCCATCCATCCACATGCATCCATCCATCCATCCATCCAGTCCATGCCATTTCATGCCTCATCCATCCATCGCATCCATCCATGGCCATCATCAATGTCATCCATCCCCATCCAGTCCATCCATCCATCCATACATCCCATCCATCCATCCATCATCCATCCATCCATCCATCCATACCATCCATCCATGCCATCGATCATCTCCATCCCATCCCATCCATACATGCCCATCCTCCATCGCATCCATCCATCCATCCATCCATCCATCCACATCTCCATACCATCCACCCATCATGCCATCCATCGCACCATCCATCCATCCCATCCCATCCATCCATCATCCATCCATCCATCCCATGCCATCCATCACCATCCATCCATCATCCATACCATCATCCATACCATACCATGCCATCCATCATCCAGTACCATCCATCCTCCATCCATTCCATCCACCATCCATCCATCCTCTCATCCGTGCCAATCAATCATCCATGCATACCATCCATCCATCCATCCATCCATCATCCATCCATCCATGACCATCCATCCCCCATCCCATCGGCATCCATCCCACCATCCATCCATCCATGCCCATGCCATCCATCATCCATCATCCATCCATCCATCGCATCCCCCATGCCATACCATCCTCCATCATCCCATCCATCCATCCTACCATCCATGCCATGCCATCCATGCCATCCATACCATCATCACATCCATCCATCCATCCATTACCATAAGACCACCAACCCATCATCCACCATCCCTCATCATCCATGCCACCATCCATCCTAGAATGCATGCATCCGCATGCAATCCGATCCATCCATTCCATCCCATCCATCCCATTCCATCCATCCATCCATCCATCCATCAATCCATCCATCCATCCATCCATCCATCATCCATCCATCTCCATCCATCCATCCATCCATCCATCCATCACTCCCATCCATCCATCCATATGCCATCCATCATCCATCCATCATCCATCCCATCTCATCCATCGGCATACCATCCATCCATGCCATCCATCCATCCATCCATCGCATCCAGCATGCCATCCATCCATCCATCACATGCCATCAATGCCAAATCCATCCATGCCATCCATACCATCAGTATCATTCATCATCATATCCCATCATCATACAGCCATCCATCCTACATCCATTCCATCCATCCATCATCATCCATGCATCCATCCATTCCATCCATCATCGCCATCCATCATCCATCCATCCATATCCATCCATCCATCCATCCATCCATCCATGCCATCCTCCATCACATCATCATATCGATCATCATCCACCATCCATCCATGCCATCATCCAATGCCATCATCCCATGCCATCCATCCATCCATGCCATGCCATCCATCGATCCATCACATCCATGCCATCCATCACATCCATCCGATCCATCCATCTCATCCAATCCATCCATCCATCATCCATCCATCCTATCCATCGCACATCCATCCATCCATCCATCCATCATCCATCCATCGCATCCATCGTCCATCCATCCATCATCATCACATCTCCATCCATCCATCCATCCATCCATCCTCCATCCATGCCAATCCAACCATCCATCCCATTCCATCATCCAATCCATCCATCCTCACCATTCATCATCCGGATCCATCCATTCCATCAAACCATCCATCCATCCATCCAATCCATCCATCCATCCATCCTCCATCCATCCATCCATCCATCCATCCATCCATCCATCCATCGCATCCATCCATCCATCGCATCCATCCATCCATCCATCCATCCATCCATCCATCGCATCATCCATCCATCCATCCATCCTGCATCCATCCATGTGCCATCCATCCATCCCATCCATCCATCCATAATCATCCATTCCATTCCATCCATCATACCATCCATACGCATCCATACCATCCATCATGACCCCAATCCATGCCATCCATCCTCCATCCATCCATCGCAATTCAAGCCCTCTATCCATACCATCCCATCGCCTCATGCCATCATCCATCCATCCATTCCATCCATCCATCCATCCATCGCATAAAAGTACCATCCATCCATCCTGCCATAGCCATCATCCATCCCATCCATCCATCGCATCCATCCATCAATACATCCATGCCACCTCCATCCATGCCATCCATCATCCATCAGCATCCATCCAACCAGTCCATACATACATCATCCATTCCATGCATCCATAATCCATACGATCCATGCAATCCATGCAGTCCATGCATGCATCCCATGGCATCCATCCGTCCTTTCGGAACGTCCGTCGCGTACGATCCGTCCGTGGCCGTGCCGTTCGTCGCGTCCGTCCGTCGTTCCGTTCGTCGTCGTCGTCCGTTCCGTCCGTCCGTCCGTCCGTCCGTCCGTACGTACCGTCCGTCCGTACCGTCAGTCTGTCCGTCCCGTATATCCATCATTCATCCAACCATCTATCCATCAAATCTATCCGTGTACGTCAATCCATCCATTAATCCGGCCGTCCGTCACCCATGGTCTGTCGTCTATCCGCATCCCATAAATCCATTCATACTCGCATGCATTGTCGCGTCGCCCGCGCCGTCCGTCCCTCCGTCCCGTCGTCATCAATCCATCAATCTCATGTCATCATTCAATGCCATCCACCATTCCATCCATCCATCCCATCCATACCATCCATCCATCCATCCATCCATACCATCATCCATCCATCCATCCGTGTTGATTGTGCATCCATCCATCCATCCATCCATCGCATGCCATCCATGCCATCCATCCATCCATCCATCATCCATCCATAGCCATTTACGGCCATCATCCATGCCATCATCCATCCATCCATCCATGCCATCCATCCATCCATCCATCCATCCATCCATCCATCCATCCATCCATCCATCCATGCATGGCATCCATACCTCCATCCATACCATGGTCCATGCCATGCCCATCCATCCCATCCATGCCATATCCATCCCTACCATCCCATCCATCCATATCATCCATGCCATACCATTCATACCATCCATCCTTCCAATGCTCCATCCATTCCATCCATACACGCATCCATCATCCATCAATTCCATCCATCCATCCATCCATACCTACATCCCATCCATCCATCTCATCCATTGCCTCCATCCATCCCATCCATCCATCCATCCATTTCCATAGCCATCCCATGACCATGCCTCCATTCCATGGCCATCCATCATCCTACCGTCGACCGTGCCGTACCGTCCATGTGCCGTCCCGTCCGTCGCATCCATCCTATCCATCCATCCATGCCATCCATCCATCCATGCCATATCCATCCATCCATGCCATGCAATCCATGTCATCGCATTCATCTATTCATAGCATGCCATAACCATACCATTCATACCATCCATGCATCATTGCATGCATGCATGCATCCATGGGCATCGCATCCATCCATCCATCCATCCATCCACTCCTCATCCATCTATCCATTCCATCCATCCATCCATGAGGATTGCCATCCATCCATTCCCATCCATGCCCAGCCATCCATGCATGCATGCATGGGCATGCATGCATGCATCCATCCATCGACCATCCATCCCATCCGCCCTCTCCATCATCCATCCATCCATGCATGCATGCATGCATCCCATGCCATCCATACCATCCATCCATCCCATCCATCCATCATCCACCATCCATGCCATCCCATCCATCCACTCCATGCCATCCTCCAATCCATGCATCATTTTTCGCATCTCATCCATCATTACCATCCATCCATCCATCCATTCATCCATCCATCCATCCATACACCATCCATCCATCCATCCATTCATCCATCCATCCATCCATACACCATCCATCACGTAATTCAGTCATTCCATCGGATTCCATTTACGCAATGACAATAATAAGTACGTTTCTGTGCGCACCTTCGTCCTTGAATACCTACACTGTTATAGGTAAGAAGAAACAGAAAAAAGTTATCAGCCATTTTGTACCAACCAAATCCGAGTGACAAAAGTTTCCATCGTCATGCGTTCATGCCAAGGTCGTAGTTCTATGCAAGTTCGGAATGCGACACGCTTGCACGTACTGTTATTTTCTAACGTTTTGTATGACTATCATTCGAGAAATCAAAGCCAAATGAAGGTTTACTTCTTAATAATTGCAAAGAAAATTTCCACTGTGTAAAATATCATGTACTCAGGTGCGGTATTAAATTGACACATGCAGCGAGCAAATCAATATTCCAATAGCATGTGAATTTGTGTTATTATACAGTAAAGCATGCTATCGAAAACTCGATCTGAAATGCCTAGCAACATTGTGCGCTGTTGTGTAGTAAACCTGAACGCGACATGCTGTACATACGCATTCTTTTACAAGTATTACGAGTTACAACGTCGAGTTGTGGGATGTGTAGCAATAAAAATGTTTATTGAAATATTCATTGCAGAGGAGTGGTTAGAACTTAAAATGCTGGCTGCACACATCAATCCATAAAACCGTTAGGTTGTTGTTGGATTCACGTAAGTAGGCCTATTTTAGTCGCATTTCCCTTGCTATATATACGCTTCGTATTTTGCCATTACGCTAAGAATATTCCACATACTGCCACATACATACATGCCAGCTAGTATACACTACAATGTTGCTCGCGAACATTACATATAACATATGCATGCAAATATCGTGCCTTACCCTTTAGACCAGGAATCCCGATAGCACCATGTGTCCCATCAAGTCCTGCGATACCGAGCGGTCCTATTTCGCCCTTTTCACCTTTCGTGCCAGGCGCGCCCGTCATTCCTACGTCGCCTTTAAGGCCGGGAATTCCTGTGGGAAATAAAAAAATTATGAGTAACGTACATCGAGGATTTGTTAATGCACTTGAAAGTTGTAACAAGTGATCACTGATATTTTACATATTTCCTTCGACATTTTATAAGGCACCAAACAGGTTATTTGTACACTTGCTGTGTAGTGAGAAACCGATGCGTGTATATAACAAATCGTGCTACGATATTCTGAAATCTTACACATGATGTGTGTTACAGAATTTAAGTGCGATCATTATTCGTTTGATATTGGGGTAACACCGTTCATCGAATGATGTACATGTACTTACATGACATATTACTCAGACACGGCTGATGTTTGCGCGCAGAATCAGCGGGAAAACTCGTGCGCGTTTGTGTCTGACTTAACCTCCGTCAACTACGCCATTCTATAGCAATGTTTCTCTTGTTAAACTAGTTACTTAGTTAACTTAGTTACATCGACCAACGCCATTAGGAAATGTTTAGCTCTTTTCCGCCGTAAGAAAAATAAGGAACGCCTGTCGCAACTACTTTTCACTTTATTTTCACTTCACTTTACTTTTCACTTTTACCTTACTAACACTGAGTATTTTGCTCAGTTCTGTTACGAGTATCCCTAATCACGCACGATGAAATATACAATTAAGGCACGTATAATTCTGTACCTCATTTATATGTTTTGACTCAAAACATAAATCCCTTATATTCTGCTCCATATCATACCGAACATTCGGGTTTCATAGTATAGGCTCTCGTGTTACTATGAGTAGAGAAATCAGCTTCACCGCTACATACCATGATCTGTCACTGCATATTTCATCTTCTGATAGTAAAATTCTTACCGGGTACTCCAGGTTGGCCTGCTTCACCGGGGGGACAGAACTCCTGTGTGCTCACACAAAACTCTTGAAGAGCAAATATCTACGCATGCAAGCAAATGCAGCCATAATTAGTCAAGAAATGTAACGAGTATTCGCTATATTGCATGAATATTGCCGGGACGGCCGTCATCCCTACCTCAAAGAAAATACTAATGCGATCTAACAAATAGTTGCCGAATAAAGTGAATGAGCCGAAATGGCAAAAAACAGGAAGTGCAGCAGATGACACATGCATTATAATGTTTACTCAAATTCGATTTTTGCTCATAATTTCGATGAGCTATAGTCAAGCTAGCACATTAACGAAAATGTATCGTATTCGTCAAAATGTTTGAACGTATACGATCCTGACAGTTTAAAACATCAGTAGAGACGTAATGACCATCGCAAACAAATCAACTACAAGTTCCCGTATCGCTACACGCATACAATATAAATTATGGGTGGTCATTTAATTAGCACGCGCACACAGAGGGATCTACCTCATAACAGCATCTATAGTATGTTCGCGTGTGGGCGTACGTGCGTGCATACGTGCGTACGTGCGTGAGTGTGTTCATATGTTTGGGCGAGCGTTCATGCGTCAGTAGGTTCGTTCGTTCGTGCGTGCGAGTGTGTGCGTGCCAAAACGCACAACGCGCAAACCACATGCCGTTATAAACAATAAAGGCATTCATGCTTAAACATGCGAGGCAAGATTTAAGAATATGGAGAAGATAATATATGTTAGTAAAATGAAATCATATACTGTTCGTCAATGTCGTTTATTTTCTATTCGGTTGCTGCGAAGCGAGAAGGTTGAGCAGTTTGCATACAATTAAAGTAAATCCGTATAGAACTATTATCTACGCTTTTCACGTACATTCCAAACATGTGTGTGTGGGTACAATAGTGATTAGAAAAGATTAAATCAGAGGCGAGTGAAATCCGCGTAAACATGCATCATGACAGCATTTATTCGCTAAACCTTATCGACGCAACTGGAATCCACTTGTACAACAACAGGAGCGTGATCATACTGAAAGAAAAACACCCTCAATACTTTTATTAAAAGTCTCAATCTCCTTAATACTACGTTTGTAATATGCTATATGTATTTTTATTATAATTATATAATGACATTAAAATATTATTATTCTAATAATATAACTATAATATAAATATAATAATAATATAATAAATATAATATAATTATATAACTATATATTATAAATTATATATGATCAGGAGCGTATAATGACAAATATCTCATATATATATATTGTCATTATACGCTCCTGATATGATGTATATAAATGTGAATACAATGAGTGAGTGCATGCATGCCTGCGTGGCATCGATGTCCCTAAAAAATTTAAATTAATTTATAGTCAGTACTTCAGTAAAGTTCAGGTGTTAGCTCTACTACTGTCTGCTCCACGTCAATTCACCGACATATTTCTTTAAAAGCATAAACCAATTTATGCACCAACGATGATATATGTATTTCACTACTAAAAATGATACTATACAGGTAGGTAGGTACAGGTAGTATAATACAGCATAATATATAATAATATATATATATAGTAACATATAGTAATATAGTATAATACAGGTAGTATATACAGTAATAATGATAAAACAGGTAGGTTTTTGTTGAAATCCAATTTGCTCACCGTCTAAAAGTAACGTTTTGTTGCCATTAACGCAATAGGTTTATTTAACCATATCTAAATTGTTGCAATTTGTAGCTCATAATTATATCCGTTAAAAAGGTGGAAAACGGCGAAAAAGATAAAGCTTTTAAACGGTTTATCAACGTTTTTTGCTGCATTTGGCGTTCTGGTCGCTTATATTATCTTTATCTTTATACAACACGATATGTATCGTGTTACATGGGGTTACATGTATGATATTTGGGAGGGGGGGGGGTGATGGATGTGTCTCGCATTGACGTCATCACCCGGGAAAAGGCCACACGAGGCCATGTGACTGTGAGGTTTTACAGTGCAACGCATTTGCGCAAATGCACGGACATTGCATGCAAAACTCAATTGTGGTAAATGTCAACTCGATGTGAGGTAAGCTCGTCTCAGTAGATTACCTCCACAGGGAAGCGATTCCGTTGGTAGGCGATGTGGCCGATTACGGTTTTGGTGCGCGTCTAAAAAGATTTCCACGTGATGTGCATTATGCGTGGAGGCACATGGGGCGTATACCCGTCAGACGGCAATAGTACCCTCGCCAAATAGAAACTGGACACACAGCTGCACGTTCAGTAAAAGCGCGCACACGTCTCCACCCCCAATTTATATGATCCGATTTCAGCAGTACGTAGGCGAGTGATGTACGTGTGAATCATTTGTAATTATATCGCCGAACACGCGCGGCTAATCGTATAGCGATCAATCAGCGAAAAGATATGGTCGTGACAGACATATAGAAGTATTCTATACGTGCGACTTACTGGAATTCGGGAGAACGACGACAACCACACCCAGTCGTCGGAGCTGGGCAAAGGGCCTTCGGTAGCCGAGTCGCCATTGGCATCTCGACGCAGATTTCCATTCTTGTATCTTCTCTTCCGTTTCCGTTTCCTCTTAGCTCTTCGCCCGGGCGTCTGCTCCGCGGCGCGCTTCTGAATCGGATGCGACCGTCCGCCATGTTGGATCCAGTGTCGCTCGTCTACGAAGCCGTCGACTGTACGCGAGCGCGGGCGTGTGTCAAAATTCTCCCCGTTCTCGCTGGCGTTGCTGCTGTGCTCGACGCCATTGGAGAAGACGACCGAGGCAAGAGAAGGCACATCTTCCGCACCTCGCGGTAAAGCCTGCTTCAGCTCTCGTCTGCAGTGGTCGCACGAATATCTCAGATGGTCAATATCGACGCGAACCCAATAGAACACACCTCCGTAGATTAAAGTCATACTAAGAAGAAGCACGTATAGTATTTTCAGATGGAGCGTGCAGCGCTCCGAGTCGGCGGTTGCCATCTTGGCCGAGCTTTTTTAGGATAACGACTCGGGTTTATGGTTGTATAGTGCAGATGCCGAGAGATGTCTACAGTATAACTGCGCATCGCACAAACAAAGTGTTCTCTGTACACTAGCGTGCTTGAAACTGTTACGACTCGGCTCTCGCGGGTTCGCTTCAGCTCACACGTGCATGGCTCCACGGTGTCAGAGGCACAGTCGTGTTGCATAAACACGTTCGGAGATGCATTTTATCATCGCGATTCCGTCCAATCACATCATCGTCAGTCCATTAACCGTTATTATCAGACGAATACATCTAAATAAGAATGGATGCGCATTGTGCCATCGTGGGCTCCGAATGCCTCACTACCGTGGTGTGGTGATCATTTATGTGCTCCCGCACGTCTCTCGACAAATAACAATCTCACGCGACAAATGGTATATATTCTCAACACGCCGGCCCCTCGATCGCCCAGCCCATCTTGTGACGTCTACTGGTCCCGGACCACTGGCTGCGTTAGTTTGAAAGCGGAGATCATTGCCGCAGTTGTTGATAGCCATTGATGTACATCGCAAAGCCGCGATGATCCCAGACCCGTATGCGGGGTTGGCTGCAAGAAGAAATGCCAGAAGACTTTTCTGTATATACATATACTGGGATCGGTCAAGGCCATCAATTCCCACGAGTCTAAAGGGATCGAGCTCGAGATTAAAGACGCGGAAACCACGTGTACCTGCATGCATAATTCGCCACAATTAGATATTCGCTGCCTTTGTACAGAAATGAACAACGCTGAATATTGTTAAAATCTCAAATACACGAGGATGAACAGCGACAATACTACAGACAGCGATATATTTTCGTGACTATAATCATGCTCACGCGTAGGGCCCCTACGCGTTTAATGCGCGCGCTCGCGAGTCCGCTCATGCTGAACGTAGGCTGTGCACAGGGCTTGCTTGCCAAGTACAGGTCCTCGCGGACTTGCAGCAGCATTGCCCGCAGATAGAAAGCGCCTCACAGGAATCTAACTGCATGAGCGCCACCTTTGTGTTCATTACCAGAATGAAATCATTAAATGAACCCGGACGGATACGATTGGACGATTTTGTTAATTGAAATTTTACTAAACCTGATACCTCTGCGTAACCGTTAGCCGTAACCAATCTAACCATTCATTCGTAGTCATGCAGACGGTGTAAATCTCATTTCGCCGCACCATCAGTTATAATAAACGGTGCAATATAAATATATTCACCTTCATACACAAATTCTGAAATTCAGACCGGTACAAAGACCGGCGAGTAACGTCCAGACGAGCCTGATCGATCAATATATTAATTCTAATAATTCATCAATATTTATGTCAGTTAAAATATGCGCATGAAGTGTCATGAGATGATATCTGTCTGTGATGCAATATAACTGATATTTCACCTCGCACATGCTTGCTTACGCGTTGTTGTATAGCATATATAATTGATCACACCAATGAATACCAATATCATTACAAGAGTTATTCAAATGGCGACGCCATTTACATTGCACATGTTTGCTTACGCGTCGCTGTAGCATATATTATTTATCATACCGATGACTATACCAATATCATTATAAGAGTTATTCAAATAGCGACGCCAGCAGCAGTTGCAACTGCAATGTCACTCGCACTCCCCGCTACTAAATCCATGTGCGTGTGAGTGGTACGCAACATGTACGCTAAATGCTGCTCTATCACCACTCGAGTGCTCAGCTATCTGAAGCATTTTCACACAGTAGAAGTAAAAACATGGCAAACGCGGCGCTGCATTACCGACACAGCTTTTCATGGCTGGCAAATGCTCCAGGTGAAGCTATGGGTATAGCCGTGCTAGGGCCCGCCATTGACACAGCCGAAAGAAGGTGAGCTACTGATGTGGAGACCATTGCACCCTGGCATAGTGGACGGTCCGATGCCGCGTTACTCGTTCTCCACAATTACGTCATTCAGCTACATACAACATGGAGGTAATCGGAAGCATAGACTCACCCCGCTCGAGGCGGACTGGCATGTTGTCATATTTGTTTTCATGTTTATATTGTGACATGTTGCGTAGACACGCCTTCCGGTCCAGGTATGGAGTGTGAACAGCCTCTCGGCCGCAAACCACGAAGCAGGGAAAATTCGTATAAAGATCTAGACAGAGGTAATCCAAAAAATTGGAAAGGCAGCGGAGCTACAAACACACACGCGTACACGCATACGCACACGCACGAGCACACCCACACGCATACGCACACGCACACCCACACGCACACGCACACGCACACGCACACACACACACACACGCACGCACGCACGCACGCACGCACGCACGCACGCACGCACGCGCACACACAGGTGTTCGTATAGAACAAACCGATGTAGCATTTACGCAATGTGCACCTGCAATAACTATGCCAAGAATTGCGTCCCCGTTATATGAAGCCAATGCCCGTAATTTGCACGAGTGAATAGTGGACCGTGTCGACGAACATGTGACGAGAAGCGCCTGCGATCGACAGTTACCTAGAGGAAAAGAGGGCATCGGTATGCAAGTACGAATCCGTGAACAGCACGCGGGGTTGGGACCATTTAACATCACCAACAAGAGGGAATAGGCGGCCATGACCGCGTTTATATTGATAAACAAAGGCCAGAATATGGTTGAAATACAATCACCTGATTCAATTAAATGATGCCTTGTAATTGCCAAAATGATTGAATTTCAATCGGTAACCTACGTCACTGTCTCTGTAACGTTCATTCTTACTGATCTTATTAAGTCAATATTATGAAAACATGAAGATGAAACGAATACTGAAATTTAATGATACCATAGGTTCCGCAGCTGGTACGAAGTCAACGGTTTCACGCGCAATGTTTCAACGTTCAATAATTATCGGCGATGCATGCTACAGTGTATTCACATAATTTTCTGACAGACGTGGATTTATCTAACAAGATTTGGAAACGGGAAAAATCGTTCGCTTAATTAAACCCAGCGCAAAAATTAAATAGGTTGCTTATCAACGTATAACCTCTAGCCTGATGTATTATATGTTTATCAAAAATGAATTAAATATAAATAACCGCTGTTATTTTTATAGATTAGATATTGATGCTGTTGTGCTGTTGAAGAAGCCAATAATTGAGTTAACGAGAACGTGGAACAAAATATAATCCCAAGTTGTATAAGCTCGTCCGTGGCCCTTTGTGAAGAAAGAATCTGTTCAGGAAAATCTACATTTACACACACTACTTAGAAGTGAAGTAGTCATAGAAATTGGCCAGTACGCCATATATATCGGAAAATTCGGCAAACAACTGTACTTTAAACTTTTGCTTCTGGAAATAGATTGCAAGACCATAAATTGCAAAAATACTTGTAAAGTGAGTTCAGACTGAAAGGTTCTGATCAATAAAACACGGCACATGTATATATGTCTTTCTGACATACGTACGCGCACATTATAGGCACCATCCGCATTTTACTAGCGCACATAAATGCGTGCTTTTAGGTGGATGTACTTGGAGTTAGAAAGGCGGAAGGCCCTGCCTTTAATCTTAGAGTACTTGGCAGAGAAAGGTTGTAATAAAAGGGTGTTTAATCCCCGACATGAGACGAACGGGGTCACGTGTCCATTAGGGCACAGACAGCACAGGGTTGCGAAGCCCAAACGCAAATAGCGCGATTACCTGGTGTCCAGACATCCATCTCTAAGTATAGACAATTAGCGACAGCATTACATGTTCGGGAGAGGATGAAACAGATCGTGTTTGAGTCATCATCAGCAACCCAATGGTGACCGTGGCGAGCTTACCTGCCAAACGATCGCGTGACTTACAAATCCAGGTGATACAGCGATATATAGTATGCGAGTGGATTGTATGTATCGGGTGCACTTATGCATGCTGGAAGAATATAGACTAAAAAACACCCGCTTTCCACGAATGCTTGTGGACCACATGAGTCAGAAACATTTCAATTTTTCGAATAAAGGACATGCGATTAAAATAGATGCATTACAGTATAGTAGCCGTAAGGGCGATCGCAGTAACTAAAGATAGCAAAACATGCATTGTCAAGTAGATGGTGTCAGGAGCAGAGAATGGGCTGAAAGGGGCGGAAATAAAACATTCCTTCGTGCTTAAACTGCCTGTGAATACATCTAGGCGCAAACTGACTTAAAAGGATCAATTGGCAAAAATTCGCAGCGGTATACACGCACTATTGTACGTATCGTACGTATATAGCATCGTAGCGGCTAGTAGATCTGTTGCAAAATTTTGTGTTAGAGTATTTATAAATATATAAAAGGGTTAAGGTTTCGCCAGCATTTTGCGCTGTAATGCATATAATATTGACGCAATGCATTCCCCATACATTTACAGGCGCAGTTATTCATGCGCGAACGTATAATGCATGCAAATGCACGCAATAGAAAGTTGATATAATTTCTCTAACAGAAATATATAGAGTCAGATATAAACGATAGTCCATTTAAATGTTCGCGCTGACAGCATGAGTGTCCTATACAAACCCGTGCCAAGCATTGTAAATTAGCGTGCCTCTAATATTTTGTGTGAATTTCGTTACTATATTATGTATTATTCAATTAGAATCCCCCACCTCAAACTTCTATAGCTGTGCTCCCTACTTGCTCTGAGAAGAAAACGCAACACCACCGAAAAACCGAACACATAATTATTATAGTATAGAGTTATATATATATATATATATTTATATATATTATATAATATAGAGTTTAATCTAGGGTTAAACATTTTGCGATTAAGACAAAATTCTAATACCTTACACATTAACACCGACTCGTGTAAGCATCTAATTTATTGATCTATAGCAGCTGTCGCGCAGCGATTTACACTCTGTGCATGAGGATTCTTCACTCGGCGTTTGTCGCCAACCTCTCCGTTCAATCCCCGCGCGCTATAGCTTTGATTTTGCACTGCCCGCGGCGACGCGCGGCTTACCCTGATATCAGCGCGACGCAATTATATACGTTGCTAGCGCGCGCTGCTCGCTCGCTCGCTCACTCTTTTTACGCATGACCACGGAAGGGCGCGCGCGCTAATGTCATTGCGTCGGCCGCAGTCTCGCGCGTTGACAGTTACAGCTGCCTCGGCGATCGGAGCGCGCAGACGGTCTCGGCGCGTGAGCAGTTGCAGGTGCGACCTCGTCGTTCAGCTTTGCTGAATATTGGCAGCCGTAATAGAGAAGTCGTTGAACATGGCTTGCTCACGTGAGCAGGCCGCGTCGGAAGGAAGACATTCCGTCAGCGCATTGAGCCACGGCGGCGACTGCCTTTAATAATTTCTGTCTTGATTGCGAATCGGCTGTCGGCGGTTCGCTTAGTACTATCGGCACGCGTGTATTTACTTTTGATTCGGTAAAACGCGCTTGGTCTAAATCCACGAACTCGCGCGTGGCGATAAATAATTTTCCCGAGCCAAACGGTGCGCTATGAGGGGATTTGCAATTGCCACGAAGGTATTCGCGCGACATGAAGAAACCTTGCTGACAAAAAACAGTTCAAATCCCGACTTCGCTTGAGAAAGTCACCCTGGTGCAAACACTAGGTTGGTAGGCAGACCGCGCTAACGTAATTTCGTTTTCGCGCAATTAGAAGAAACGATCTCTATAAGTAACGACGAAGAGAGGAAAGTCATCAACATGGCGTTCCAAAACGAGACGGACCTCCTCACAGCAAGCGACAACAAAACCCTGGCAAACACCACCGGCGGAATTCCCAGGGAACTGCTGTTCGGTACCGAGTCGATCGTATCCATTGCCGCTTACAGCGTCCTCTCACTGCTTGCCGCCATTGGCAACATCCTCGTGTTTTTGACAATGATCAGGGGCCGAAGCTACAGCAAGTCTCGCATCAGCCTGCTGATGATGCACCTCGCCATAGCCGACCTGCTCGTTGCCATGATTGTCATGCCGATGGAGGTTGCCTGGAAGGTGGCCGTCACGTGGATTGCCGGCGACTTTATGTGCCGCTGCATGATGGTGCTGCGTTCATTCGGTCTCTACTTGTCGTCGTTCATCCTCGTCTGCATCAGCCTCGACCGCTACTTCGCCATCGTGCATCCGCTGTCGTTCAGCCGCTCAAGCTGCCGGGCGAAGACCATGCTGTGTGTGTCATGGCTACTCAGCCTCGCCTGCAGTGCACCACAGGTAGGTCCACCGTGTAGCTGAGATTAAGCGAGCACTGAGAACATGCACGCGACTATCATACTGCTATGATTTGGCATATATTAATTAATTAATCAATCAATCAATCAATTAATTTGGTTATTCAGTTTATTCGTTGCTTCGTTTGTTTGGTAGTTAGTCGTCTAGTTAACCAGTTAGCTGTCTAGCTAGCTAGCTAGTTAATTATTCAATTAGTTATTAGTTAGTTAGTGAGTGAGTGAGCAAGTAAGTGAGCAAGTCAGTCGGTCGTTCGGTTGGTCGGTCGGTCAGTCGGCGCGTGGGTTGTCGACGTCGGGTCGGGGTCGGTCGCGTCGTCGGTCGTCGTCGTCGCGCCGGCGGGTGGCGGTCGGGGCTCGGGCGGTCGCTCCGGTCGTCGTCGGTCGGTCGGTCGGTCGGTCGGTCGGTCGGTCGGTCGGTTGGTTGGTCGGTCGGTCGGTCGGTCGATCTGTCGGTCGGTCAGTCGGTCGGTCGGCGAGTTAGTTACTTAGCTAATTGGTTAGTTAGGTAATTAGTTAGTGTCCACTCTCTTTTTTTTCCTGCTCTTACTCTGCCTCCCTCTCACGCTCGCACTGCTTTCATCCATAATTATTATCTACCTCATGCCCTCACAGCGTCACGCTCTCACGTCCCGCTCTATTTTGCAGTAGTTTCTCCCTGTTCCTTTCTATGTGTGCCTTCCTATATGTTTTTCCTCTCTTCACACGCACGCATCTCCCGTTCGTTAATTGTCTCTATTTCTGTCTGACCTATTCTTCTAATTTTTCGTTTACTCTCTGCAATTTCGCTCCGAAATCTCCCTCGCCATTTCTCGCCCTTTTTGTCTCTTTATCGCATTCTCCCTAGCTAGCTAGCCATGTGTTGCTCTCACGTGTAGTTACGGCTACCGTCTTGCTGGCTACTGTCGGTAGTGTCGGCAGCGACGGATCCGCTGGCGTTGATCGGCCTCTTTGTGATGACAGTTCTTTTACGACCCATTGCCTCTTTGCGTGTTGCTGTTCCGGATCCCGTGCACCGCATCGCTGTAATCAAGTACAATTGTACACGCATTAGAAGCCGCACGATGTTGCTACACGTCAAGTAATCGAGAATGCGTGCCTCGATTTAGTAACTACGGCTTGATGAATATTGAAAGAACATCAGAAAACTAGTTATAGCGAGCCTGAACGGATTAATTAGAAAAATTAATCAGTAAATGGAATGGGTAATTTTATTGAAAGTCATCATGCGTGGTTGCGAGTGACACCATATTGCTGCGTCACTACGTGCTACGCGCTGCCTAAGTAGGGGCCTATGTAACTACATTTAGCATCGACAATGCTCAGCTTTCTGTACTGCGAAATCGGCCTATTCCGTACTTCTCATCACCCATAGGACGAATTAATTTAAAACTTAAAAACGCAATGTTGGGCAAAAATCCCTTAAATAATTCTGATCAATGTTTTCGGTTGATTACAGTTACAATTCCATTTTGTTTACGATGTTACGCGTAGGCACATACGCGAGAGGAGCACATTATACCAAACTATGTTTTTGTATATATATATATATATATATATAGGGAGAAAGAGAGAGAAAGAATGAAACGTTCAACATAGAGAATACAGGGGCGAAGAGAAGTAGGAGAAAGAGCGAGAGAGACGTAGACGGATTTAAATTTAATTAAAATCGATACTCATGCCTCTCTCTTAAACGAATGCACTATATTACAGCATGTAGGTAGGATTTAAAATTATAATTAAGTAATTAAGAAACTATGCTTAGGGTTTATCGTAGCCTGCGTAAACGACACGGTCCGCGTGCAATGGTGGTCACTAGAGGGTTGACAAACGACGCGTTGATGTGCTATTTGTTGTCAAATGCGACAATTATACGCACGGCTACGCATTGTAACAATGTACAAAGATGAGAAAAAGGATTTTTGTTCTATTTTACTTGCTCTTTATCGCACGTGCTCGTTCTCTCTCTCTCTCTCTCTCTCTCTCTCTCTTCTCTCTCTTGTCTCTCTCTCTCTCGCACCCTTTTCCGCCTCCACTCCGTCTCTTGTTATTCCTCCTACGAACCACGAAATACGCTTACTTACTCTAGCCCCTCCCCCTGCTCCTCGCCATTGCTCCATATCGCGACACCAGAAATTCGTATGAGTGATAGGCGTGTAGATGCCTTAACATTTGTCTTGCCCGTCCAAGAGTCACACATAACAGGCGTCGTACCGTATTCTTTGAGTACTCTATACGCAGCGGTAAGAGAGCCAGTTATGTTAAATGCCATACATGCGCTACTACTCTAGTAAGAGCACCGCCCGGTCATCCTGATTATCTGCTCGGCAATTAACTTGCGAACGCCTTTCAATGGCCCAATTGGATGGATATTCAAAATAATGGTTGTTGATTCAGTCTTTGCAGATGATCAGGCCATATGTCTGGTGGTTGGGCGGTGTTCCTGGTTGGGTTTAATAATAATAATATATATATATATATGTATATTATATATATAAATTATAATAGCAACTGACTGCAGCCTTCAAGAAACGTCAAAACGACAAGTAAAGTGGATTATCAAACGCGTGAACTCCGATGAAATTTCTTTGTTTACGGCTTGTGCGGCTTAATGCAAGAGCGGTGTCTGGCTGTTAGAAAATAGATTTTTCTTTTTGTCAATTTGTTTGTTTTCGATATGTTATTCGTCATGAATATAATTATGGAATTAGAGCTCAGTGTCTTGACAAGGTTTGCCCATCATAATACATGGACACGAAAAGATTACGGACCCCTATCAGATGTGAAATAGCACGCGCCCTGTGCAGCAGGCATGGCACGTGCTATTTTGTAGTGAGCAAATAATGAAGAACCACAGAAAGCAGACGAATTTTATTGCTGGGCTAACGAGTTCATTGGTGGAGGAGGAGAACTTTCCTTTGAGCCGTTCAAAAAATCTGCATTGAATCGGTCGAAGGGTCCTTGTTTCACCTTGAAATTATTGGGTACACTAAAATATTGTATACCGATCTTTGTATTATATAATTCTAATATGCGCAAACAGTAAAATGTAAAACGATGTAGACGGACTAGGCGATTATGCGAGCTAAGCAGTTAGCCACTGCTGACTAGCCACAGATGCACCATACAATCATATAATATTAGGAGGTTTAGCGGGCCGACCGATGAGAGCGAGCGCGAGCGGCGCGGCGGCGACAGGTTATAGAAGGCCGGGGCATTACCGCCAAAAAGGCCTACCTATTTTGGGTATGGTACCCTAACCCCTAAAATTGTATTTTAAGCGCGATGAAATTCAGCAATCAGAACAGTGTTTTTAATCGCCGATTAAATATTATACATTTTATTCGTTTTCTATTATATCTCGATTCTATTTCAGAACAGTGTTTTAATCGCGAATTAAGAGAATAGGTAGTTTTGTGTGTTGCCTTGGTTCTTGCTTTTTGGGTGTCGTGTGTGCTGGGCGCCGGGTCTGTGGGGGTGTGTGTGTGTTGTGTGTGTGACGGTGGTGTTGTGCGCGGGCTCCTGGCCCCGGCGCTGTCGGGGTCATTCTGTGTGTGTATGTCGTGTGGTATGATTCTGTGTGGTTTGTGTGTGTGTGTGGTGTGTGCGGTGGTTGTGTGTATGTGTGTGTATGTGTGTGTGTGTGTGTGTGGTGTGTGTGTGTTCGTGTGTGTGGTGTGCCTGTGTGGTGTGTGGTGGTGTTTTGTGCGTGTGTGCATGTGTGTGTGTGTATGTATGTGATGTCTGTGGGGCAGAAGTGGGTGTGTGTGTGCGTGTGTGTCTGTGGTGTGGTGTGTGCGGTGGTGTGTGTTGGTTGTGTGTGATGTGTGTGTGAGTGTGGTGTGTGTGTGTGTGTATGTGTGTGTGTGTGAGGAGAGGGTCTTGGTGGTGAACATCGTTTGTTTGTGTGTCAGGTTCGGTTATGAAGACCGTCTTGGAAACCGTGGATGATCGTCACCATACATGCTGAGTACCATAATACACCATACACACCATATATGTGCCCTGATTACTCGTCTTACTACTAGCCGACGTAGGATGCTTATCACGGCGGCCAGTATACTACGTAAGCATATTAAGCATATATGTAAACTATAGTCACAGCACTTGACAGTGATATAATCAGTATGGTTATAAATGTGATATATTAATAATTACATTTTAAAAACAGATAGCATAACGTCTAATAGACGAACACACGCCACACGCATAATAATAATAATAATAATAATAATAATAATAATAATAATAATAATAATTATTTATACTGCTGCACATTGCCTCCCACATACCAAATTATGCTTTACATAGCCAGCACGCGAACTGTTTAGGAGGAGCGCCCCGCCCCCCGCCGGCCGTTGGGGGGTTGGCTCACCACCCCACAGCGCCGCGCCGGAAAGGCCCCGTTTTGACTTCATTGCATGGCCCTTCCTTTGATCTTGCCACCATCTCCCTGATAAGTTCGACTCTGAAATTATCAATCCTTACGCTTGCAACCGGATTAATTGTACATGAATTAATACAATACGCGCCTATAAGATACACTAATCGCAAATATTCCACACACACACACACACACACACACACGCACCACGCACACGCACACGCACCACGCCACACGCACACGCAACACGCACACGCAACTCGCACACGCACACGCACACCACCCACGCCACAACGCACAGCGCAACACGCACCACGCACACGGCACACGCATCACGCACACGCAACACGCACACGCACACGCACACCACACACACACACACACACACACACACACACACACACACACACACACACACACACACACACACACACACACACACACACACACACACACACACACACACACACACACACACACACACACACACGCACAATGGTAATACATTTTAAGCGCGATTAAAATAGGTAGGTTTTGGCGGTAATGGCCTTCCATAGTATACATCACTCAGTAGGTCACAGGTCGCCGCAGGAAAACCATTCAAACCGCATCACGCCGATATGCATGAATTAGCAATCTCAGGATGAAGCCAGCAAGGCTTCATGTGATCGTAATGCAGTCACGTCTGGACAAACACAAGGACGTGCGGGGTCGCCTTTACCTCTTCAATAAGCTCGTCGAGAATCACCTACATTCCAACCCCTGCGGGGATATTAGCGACTGATTTTGTGTAAGACGGTACTCAGAACGCGAGCCAGTGTAAGTAGCGTTGATCAGGTTCATCGCCACTCAATATACTTCACGCACAGCATGTTGTCGTTACCTAGAGTCTCTTTATATAGAAAATCTTTTATATTCATGTCTATATGAATGGACTCTAACTTTACCGATGTGTTCGCGCTCTCTGTGCAAGTGAATCAAGCGCCTACTGGTTATCACATGTCTCTCTGTACGGGTACTCATGCTGTGAGGTACTAGATTGACGTCAACGCAGTCCGTGTCTGCTTGAGGTGAGCTCCTCCTCATGTGACAGTGCACGGATTAGCGTCACGTGCTGGCGGAGCGCTGATCAATGTGAGGTCAGCTTACCGCTTACCTTTCTTACCGCTTACCGCTTACAGCTTACCGCTTACCCCCGCTTCCGGCATTGCAAACATACGCACCGGCATTAACGTCACAGTTTTGATCTGGTCGTTAGTCAGCGGAACACTTTCCGGCCGGAAAGTAACAATGAATTCATTAGCGAGTCTATTCACACGCGTTATGTCGAAGTCGGGTTAATGTAACCAGGTGTCTTCTAACCGTCAACTCACGTCGACCCAGAACAGTCAGACGGCGGACATGGTGGTAGCATGGTAGAGACATGGTGGTAGCATGGTGGTAGCATGGTGGTAGCATGGTGGTAGCATGGTGGTAGCATGGTGGTAGCATGGTGGTAGCATGGTGGTAGCATGTTGGTAGCATGGTGGCAGCATGGTAGTAGCATGGTGGTAGCATGGTAGAGACATGGTGGTAGCATGGTGGTAACATGGGGGTAGCATGGTGGTAGCATAGTGGTAGCATGGTGATAGCATGGTAGAGGCATGGTGGTAGCATGGTGGTAGCATGATAGAGACATGGTGGTAGCATGGTGGTAGCATGGTGGTAGCATGTTGGTAGCATATTAGTAGCATGGTAGTAGCATGGTGGTAGCATGGTGGTAGCATGGTGGCAGCATGGTAGAGACATGGTGGTAGCATGGTAGTAGCATGGTGGTAGCATGGTGGTAGCATGGTGGTAGCATGGTAGTAGCATGGTGGTAGCATGGTGGTAGCATGGTGGTAGCATGGTGGTAGCATGGTAGTAGCATGGTGGTAGCATGGTGGTATCATGGTGGTAGCATGGTAGTAGCATGGTGGTAGCATGGTGGTAACATGGTGGCAGCATGGTAGAAACATGGTGGTAGCATGGTAGTAGCACGGTGGTAGCATGGTGGTAGCATGGTGGTAGCATGGTGGTAGCATGGTGGTAGCATGGTGGTAGCATGGTAGAGACATGGTGGTAGCATGGTGGTAGCATGGTGGGGGTATATCAGGGGCCATCGTAGCGGCATATATAGTGGCAGAATGATGGTGGCGCGGTGGGGACATGGCGGGGACATGGTTTGGGCAGGGTTGGGTCATGGTTGGGCGTGGCGGCAGCGTGGTGGCGATATGGTGGGGTATGGCTGGGACCTGGGGGCGGCAGTGGTCTAAATGTGTTTGATACGAAACCACAGGTTTAGTGTAGTCGGTATCGCTAATGGACCTCTTAGGGCATAGAGAGATTATGTAGAGAAGAAATTCGATGAAAGAAAATTTTTTGCAAATCTGATCGTTATATATATATATATATATATATATATATATATATATATATATATATACTACGTACACACGTACGTACGACGTACGACACACGTACGACTACGACACGACAACAACGAACGACGACGACGCGACCGACCACGACCTACGAACGACGA